ATTAAAGCAAATATATATATTGTTATAAAGTGTATCTAGGGTTTAGGGTTTATCTAGGGTTTAGGGTTTAGGGTTTAGGGTTTCCTTACGTCACAAAAAGCAACATAATTATCATTTTTATCCTTTCCATAGATAACAAATGGTACAGCCATAAAGAGGGCATCAAATGCTCTTGGAGGTCTTGATAGAATTAATTGAACTTCTTCTTCTTTCCCTCTTATTATTGGACTGTCTCCTTTTTTTTCTCCTTTTTCTATTCCTATAGAGGAAGAAGGAGAAGAAGAAGGGGATATATAAGAAGAGGAAGAGGAAGAGGAAGAGGGAGAGGAAGAGGAGGAGACACCTTCATTAGTAGAGCTGTCTCCTTTATTATTTATTATAGAGGAGGAGGGAGGGGAAGAGGAGGAGGAGGAGGAGGGAGAGGAGGAAGAGGAGACAGTATCGTTATTTTCTTTACTAACACGACGTAATGAGGAGACACCTTCGCTATTTGTCTCTCCTGCTGATCTGCTGCATGCAGGGACTGCAGCATAACTTATTGCTGCTAGCAGCAGCAGCAGCAGCACACGATATGCATGCATCTTGCTGCTCCTCCTCCTACTACTCCTAAGAATATTCCTGCTGCTCCTGCTGTTCCTGCTGCTCCTCCTGCTGCTCCTGCTGCTGCAGGGCTTCTTTATTAAGGAAATATAAATAAAAGATAAACTCTCGGGTGTATGCACGTACACCACAAATAATTTATTTATTTATTTATTTATTTATTTATAGCCAAGGATAAAATAAGGAGAAAAAAAAAAAAGAAGGAAAAAAAGACAAAGAAAAAGACAACCTTTATCTATAAGACAAAAAATGTCAATAACCACAAAAAGAAAACGCCAAAAAGAGGCTGGATCTGCTGCAGTTGCTGCAGTTGCTGCTGCTGCTGCTGCTGCTGCTTTTGCTGCTTTTCTTGCTTGTACAGTTTATTCGATACAGCTCCTGTTGCTGCCGCTGCTGCTGCTTCTGCTGCTCCAGCTGCTGCTACTAACCAGGGACAGCTGGATAGACACCTCTTCTTGCTGCTGTCTGTACGCTAATTATGAGTTGCTGCTGTCTCCGCTTCTGCTGCAGCAGCAAATTCGAGCCCGTGCAGCAGCAGCAGGGGGAGCAAGAATAAGAATAAGGACGTCCTTATCGGACAAATGGACACCTGGGGAGGAGGTAAGAGGATAAAGGGACTTCTGCCTTTAGCAAGAAGCAACAGGAGCAGAAAAAAAAGAATACTTGGTGCTACTGGGGTGTATATACAGCTGAATATAGACCCCAGCAGCGGCCGCTACGCTCCCAGGGTCTAAAAGGAGGTGCAGAGCCGTTGCTGCAGTATAATAAATGCATTAAATAAGAGCAAAGTTAAAAACGATCTTCTTTTACGGTTTATTTAAACTTAATAACAAAGAAAATGGCGAACAAATACCATAAATGGAGCCCTGCTGCTGCTGCTGCAGCAGAAGAGCACCGGTAGCAGCAAACGCCGAGGCGGCGCTCACCTAGGCATGCTACAACAAAAGGTATATTGATTTAATGTATTTATTTTATTTATTTTAATTTATTTAAATATATTTATTTATTTTTATCATTAAATGCACAAAAAACAAGCCAAGATCGCCTCCTCCCCCCGCTCCCTGCCGCTCCCCTTTCATCAAGCCCGTGTGATCCGCAGCAGCCTACTGCTGCTGCTGCTGCTGCTGTTGCTGCTTGCTGCTCCACTATTTGCTTTTTCTATTTATTTATTTAATTTTAATTAAATAATTAAATAAACAATTTAATTCTTTTTCTTATTTTTATTTAATAAGGAAGAGCAGCAAATACATCTGCAGCACCAACCCCACGCATAATAGATTCATTATACACTATATATATATGTGTAAGCAGCAGCAGCAGCAGCAGCAACAGCAGCACGATCCAGCAAAGACGAGACAATCGATTGCTTCTACCTAATAAATATAATTATATATAAAAAAAAGCAGCAAATAAATAAATATTCTTATAAACCGTATATATATATAACTAATAGACACAGGAGTGTAAATGTATTTATTATTAATTATTTTCTTCTTTTTTTTCTTTATATAACTATTAATTACTTTTATTATTATTTATTTATTATTTATTATTATTACTAATATAAATAATTAATTTATTTAATTATATTTGTCCTAGATCTATTTTATATAACTATATTTCTCCTTCTTTGTCCTATTTGTATTTTTTTGTGGGGTTTTTGTTATTTTGCTGCTGCTGCTGCAGCAGCAGCAGCAACAACAACAAATGCTGCAGCAGCATGTAAGGGATAGAGAGAATGTCTCTCTTGTGTCTCCTCTCCTCTTATTAAGTAGCTATAAGTCCCTATGTAAGTAATATACTAATAAAGGGACAGAGGAAAGGAGACACAAGGAGACAAAAGGAGACAAAAAGAGACAAAAGGAGGCAGGAAAGAAAAAAGGAGAAAAGAAATGAATAAAAAGATTAGTATAATATTTATAAATAAAAAAAAAGAAATAAAATAGCAATAAACAAACAAGCGTCAAGGATTAATTAATTTATTTATTAATTTATTAATTATTAATAAGTAAAGTAATTAATTAATTAATTAATTAATTAATTAATTAATTAATTAATTAATTAATTAAATTAATTAATAAGTTAATTAGTTAGTAATTAATTAATTAATTAAATAAAGAAACTATTTGTCTGTCTGCATGTCTCTCTTTCTTTATATTTATTCATCTGTTTGTTTGTCTCTCTTTTTGTCTATTTGTCTCTCTTTTTTTTTGTCTCCTTTTATGCCTGTATCTGTCTCCTTCTCTCTCCCTATTTGTCTCCTTTTTTGTCTCTTTTTGTCTCCTTTTTTGTCTCTATTTGTCTCTATGTGTTATCTGCCCTACAAAAAAAATAATATAATTAAGACATTATATTATATTATATATATAATATAAATAATATAAATAATAAATAAATATAATAAATAATATTTGTATATTTATTTTGCGGTGTACAGACACCTTATATATAACGCCATTAATAAAATAATAAATTAAATAAATAAAAAGAAGAAGAAATAATAAAATAAAAGGAGACAAAAAAAAAGGAGACACTTAGTTATTGTCTCCTCCTATTAAAACTATTATTTGTTTGTTAACAGCTGCAGCAGCAGCAAACAAATAAATAAATAAATAAATAAATAAATAAATAAGAAAATAAAATAAACAAATATATAAATCATTATAAGGAGACAAAAAAGGAGACAAAAAAGGAGACAAAAAAAGAGACACAATAATTGTTTCCTTTGTGTCTCCTTTTTTCCCTTTTCCCCAATCTATACAACTTCACAGACAAAAAAAAACGCCCTGCTGCTGCTGCTGCTGCTGCTGCATCTATTTATCTTTGTCTTTTTTATTTATATTATCTTTTTATATATATTTATTTCTTATAAATATTCTTCTGGTGGTATTTGTTCAGACGTATTTGCTGCTGCTGCTGCTGCTGTCTCCTCATTTGCTGCTGTTTCTGCTGTTCCTTCTGTTGCTGTCTCGTCTATACCTCCAGCTGCTGCTGTTAATATTGCTGCAGTTGTATTCTCAGTTGCAGTACCTCCATGAGCAGCCTCACCAGCAGCACCAGCACCAGTACCACCACTACCACTACCAGCAGCAGCAGCAGCAGCAGCAGCAGCAGCAGCAGCTTCAGCCTCAGCAGCAGCAGCAAGCCTATCTCTTACATTATGACTAATTCCTAACTCATATGCATATATATTAAATTGTCTCCGATCGGAGAGGGCTCGAATTATCGCTCCAGCCGGCCAGCCAAAATCTCCAGGATTTTTTTCGTCTCCAAATTCGGCTAAGTCCGAACCGGTTTCGACTCCTCCACCAACCATTTTTTCGGCTAAGTCCGAACCGGATTCAACTCCTCCACCAACCCGTTTTTCGGCTAAGTCCTTTTTCTTAACAATTTCATCTACTCCAACTCTCAAATTTCCAACAGGTTTTTCGGCTAAGTCCTTTTTCTTTATACTTTTTTCTCCTCCTCCTCCTCCTTTTTCTTCTCCGACTTGGCCAAAATTTATATTTTTTGTGTATTTTTTTTCGTCTTTTTTTTTGCTGATTCTTTCTTCGAGTATTTTTTTATTGAAATCTTCTGTGGCGAATTGTATATTAGATGGATGAATTTTATTCATCATTAATAGATTTAATAATCCATAAGAATAAGATAATTTGAAGCAATTCTCTATATTCATATTAGTAACATGTATAGCAGCAGCAGCAGCAGCAGCAGCAGCAGGATCATCCTTAACCTCCTTAGGTAATTCAATTTGTCGTATAAGAGACCCATCAGGCCCCCTAATAATAGGAGCAGCACAATATTTAGTTGCTGCCTCCTTAAGGAGACAAGGATCTCCTTTATAGTCCTTAGGTAATAGATTTAGTGCCTGTAGATCCATAATTGGACCTACTAATGCCTTACCTGTAAGAAGAAAAGGAGACTGTATAGATATAAATTCAAATATTTGCTTAATTGTATCAAATCCTGTATAAGAAGCTTCCTGGTTAGCAGGAAGAGGAAGAGGAGGATCTAATAATATATTATGTACAGCAGCAGCGCATGCATTAAATTTACCTGTACCTTTTATATATATACATCCTTTTATAGATAATCTTTCTTTTATTGATTTATCTGGATTTATACCAGCAGATAAACAAGATAAATAATTTATTAATTTCTTATTTATTTCTTTATTAGTAGATGTACAATAAGAAGCAGCAGGATATATTCTTTGTTTTTCTTCTTCCTTAGATACAGATACTATATTATTATTTATATTATTATTTATATTTATATTATTATTTATATTTACCTCCCCTGTACTACATTCTTGTATATATCCTATAGGTAAACAAGGATTCATACATATACCCTTATTTATATTCATAGGGTTACTACAATAAATATTATATAATATACCTATAGCACTAGTGGCACCTAATTGCATAAAAGAGGAAGAAAATACATCTATATTAGGGAAATTAAATTTATTTCCTCCCCCTTTTCCTCCTCCTCCTCCTTCTTCTTCTTCGTCATCTTCTTCTTCTTCTTGCTCATTTATATATCCTTCTTTTATTAGATTAATTATATTCATAAAAGAAGGAACTTTATCTATATTATATACAGGGAATACTATTTGCATAGATGCCCCCCCTACCTCTATTATACTAGTAAGAGATTGTTCTAATAGAATAATTTGTTTTTTTTTTTTTTTTTTTTTTTTTTCCTTTTTTTTTTTTT